TATGTATGGTAGTGTGTTAGAGCGTTTTTCTGCAGGGAGTCATACATATTTATATGCACACGCATAGGTGCCGTTATGGGAGGAGCAAGTAATGATTTATGACTCTTTTTACTTGCAGGTGCTATTAGCTCCCACACTTTTAAGGCATGACTCAGTATTGAGTATCTTCTTTTCCTATGTATTTTTTAGAGTTTAGGAGTCTTGTAGCAAAAATAAGACACGAGCATGGGTTCCGAGGCGTTTGGCGTGGAAACCATGTGGAGGGGACCAGGGGCAGATGCTCGTGCCCCGTATCTTAATTCTGTATTTTATATTGTGTATATAATTATGACCGGACATGTATATGCGGAGTTCGACCATCTTTTTTTTTGTGATATGTTGTCAACCTAGCGACACCGGCCTGTTTATTATTTTAATTTGACTTGTTTTGTTTTTTTGCATCATATTGCATGTCTGCACTTACATGTGTTTTCTTTGTTTCTTTCTGTAGTTTATCTGAGATTTCACGATATAATCTAGGCTCATTAAGGACCCTAAAATTATTCCTAATTTCTCTACATATAAATCCTAAATAAAATATTCTAAATATTAAAATTTAGGATTAAAATATTTAAGACTTTAGAAAATTGATATTTACTTTTCTGCTTATGTTAATAGGACCTCCACAATACTTAAGGACCGCTCTAGATAACTGTATCATATTTGAATGTCCCGAGAAGGAGTCATCGTGCTTCTCCAACCTACTGGCCCAGCATACCTCTTTATAAGTGGTTGTCTAGTGTGCTTTGCTTAGGGTGTTAGAAGGCTGTGTTAGAAGGCTCCCCGACCCAGACGGGGTGAAGTCCTTTTATTTGGAGCGTTTCCAACTTTGTCGTTGAACCTCCACTTTCTTTCCTTTTCTGAGACATCCTCGCTACTTCGGCATGTATAAGTCTCACCTCTTGAAGCTCCATCTTTTAGTCATAGGATAGAATTTCCTTCAATTGACCTTAAAGCTACCGAGGTTCTCGTGGATGATGCAATTCACGGATTGCTAACTGGGGATCTCAGGGCTTGTTGGGTCGACTACCTTCACAACCAGATACACTTAGGATCCTAGTAGCTGTATATTGCGAGTTCGTGGTACCCCCACCCAGTTACTTCTACCTTTTTAGGATCACTCTGTCTTCCTTTTGTTGAGCCCCTTTAAGCCTTATCGTTCCTTGACTTCGTTGATATCATTTTGAAGGTCCGATGCCGATGAGCTGTTGCCCATTTGGGAAACGACAATTTGTGATCTGCCCTTTGGCCCGGACGTGTTTTGATGTGTTGGGATATCCCCGTCAAGATGATTTAGGTTATTTCGTAGACCATGTATGCCGATGAGTCGCTACCCATTTAGGATGTGAGAGATTCATTCTCTGCCCGATGGCTTAGCGCGAGCTTTGAAGCATCGGGACTGTTCCCACACGAAATAACCTTCCTTTGAGTACCTATTTCACCAATTCACGATAATCCAAGCGAAACTCCTTTTATCGAGAGTATTCTTGGGAACCCTCCAAGATGTAATTAACCAAGTGGGATACGTCTCCTTGGGAATGCTTTTGACCCCAGAATAAGCACTTACACCTGACTCTCTAGTTATGGGTAGTCTACATAAGTGTTCTTTTGCGGATATCGGTTTAAGATGCTTTCGCCTGATCTTGTTTGAGCAGACACTCTTGACCTATCCTTGCGAGGTTTAGCACACGTAGATTTTCCACGTTTTGTGTTTTCTCTTGTTTGTCGTATGTCCGTTTTTTCCGGTTTCTCTCTTTTTTAGGTCGTTCATATGACTCGGAAAAGAAATTTATTGGGAAAAGGGAAGTATACGACGATCGACAGGCTGACGACTCATTCTAAAACAAAATAGAGAAAAACAAACGAAAACAAGAATATCATCAATGTTACTAGCATTTGCTGAGGTAAACAAGTCATAAGGTCTCAAGTCCAAGGCCACGCTGCAACCTAATTTAAATCACCGAGGGCAAATATATGTTAAAAAAATGTAAAAAACACCCAAAATGTTCATATTAGTTTGCCCATTTGATAACTGCTCCATATTTTTATTGTTGCAGCTTCCACAATGATGATTATAATGAAATTTTACAAGAATTCATAGCTCCACGCTTTCTCAACATTTTAAATCTCTGATAGTGGAGTTTACCTGAACAACAATGAAAAAAAAAATATCATCGTTGTAACTCAAATAGGAAATTACAACCAAACACACATAAATCTAAAATTGCAACAAACAACAACACACACTTAAACTAAGGTTAAATCTAGAGAGATGGTGGTCAGCTATGTGGGCTGGATGGGGGGAGGGGGCGGCAGGTGGCTGAAATGGTTGTATTGAACGTAGGAGGGAGGTTGTTGCATTAACATGGGGACTTTAGGCAGTTGTAGGTATGGATGGTTGGGATAAGAGGGAAACAACAGGGAACTAAAATTTGGGCGACAACAATAAGAGAGGCATGGATGGAACAACGAAGAAAACCAGATAGAGGCGATTCTAGGATGGCGACAACAAAGGTGGAGGAGGAAGACAGGTGGGATGGTCGAAACAGTAGAAAATATCAGTTGTTGTTCTGGACAACTACATCAAGGGAGGGAGACAAGGAGCGGTGCGGGAAGGATGTGAAAAGGTGGAAAAAGGATAAACACCACCTCGGTAGTGAGATACAGCCAGAGCACCACTTGGACTTTTGCAGCCCTCGAAGAGAAAAGAAAGACGTTGACTGATGTCCCTAATAAAAACACAATAAAAACTAACCCTAAAATAACACAAAAGCAAATATTTAATATTAAGGAAACAAATAGTTGGCGCCTCTACTTGAAAGAGACAGTACTACTTTTTGAAGAGCAAATTGGCCCTCAATGGACCAAAAAGGTCCAAGCACCCTTCACCTCCCGCATTCGTGGACTCCTGCCCTCAGACCAAAGGATCAGTCTCCCGTGTTTGGGAGGAACTTCAAACTCATCTGTCGAAGCTATTGTCTCCTCATAATAAGGAGTTAGGTTTGTCACATTGACGGTAGCACAATTGTCATTATCTTCTGACAAGTTGATTTTGTAGGTGTTGTCATTTAGCTTCTTTAGGATCTTGAAAGGTTTATCAATTATCGGTTTGAGCTTCCCAAAAGATCACTATACAAAAAATATGCTCACGTCTACCCAAGACAATTATGATCACGTACGTCATTCCAAAGCATATTCTAATAGAATAAGTAGACATCCTATTTTTGCACAATCATAGCTGAAACTACACACAAATGAGTTTTCTTGCAAACTAAGTTTCGAGCCATTAAATTTGTAACATCCTTCTCCCATTGCTCGTACTCGATCGAGTGTATCTGATAAACAACTTTATCAGGAGTGAATTCTGGAACGAAATCTAGGACAAATTGGGCAACTCTCAATGGCAATTACTTAGGAGCAGTTTCTTCTTCTCTTAAATGACCTGGATCTCATTGTCAGATGTTCATTCCACAAAATACTTAAAGAGGATTTCAAAGCTACAGTTCACCATGCTCGTCTGGCCATCTGATTGTGAAGGTGTTGTTAAATTGAACTGAATTTTCATACTTATATTACTCAATATAGCCTTCAAAAAGTAGCTCAAAATCTTCTCATCTTGACATATTCAATCTCTCAATAGTGATAACTTAGGAGGTAGATTGTATGCCTTAAAATCCTGCTCTTATACGGAGTTGCCATGTGTTTATTGTCAGTTGCTCGAACTTATGATCCTCTTGAACAACTAATATCAGTAGTGTTGATGCTCCTCTTATTGCCTACAATAAAGACAATTCGTGACACCACATCCACAAACTATGCATGAATGTCTATTACCTCAAATTCACTACCTTCTAGAACAACTGATGTTAATCCTAATGGAGTATCTCTCATATGCTCAGATTGTATCATCAAAGTCTCTTCGTCCTTGTCAGCTGAAAGTTGAGACTCCTCTCTGAAGGTTTCATTATCTCATGTGTCATTGCCCTTTTTTTTCAATTGTTCCCTGCTTGGTGAAAGAGATCGTTTTCTTATTTGGACAATCAGATGTCATATGCCCAAAACTATAACACTTGAATTTACTGGCGGAATAAATTCGAGAGTACTGACAATCTCCACTTTTTCTCCACTCTGTACTGGTTCCTCTTCTAGTTGAGTCAGCTTAGATATTCCGCTGTTTGTACTCTTGATGCTTGATCTTGAGGTTGACCGCCGTCTGTAAGCTGAGGCGGTTAACCCAGGATATTGTAACTAGTAAAGTCTCAAGAATATATCATTCTTGTAATGTGAAGGTAGATATTTGTGTTGCATCCCCCTTTCCATCTTGGATTAGCTAATAATTTTACCCTTCCATTCTCGATATCAAAAAAATTTTAAAGTTCTCCCACTATAGAGATGCACTCTCCTCTAACTTAATGGAGGCTTGTTTCATCATTCTATCTAGTGGAATATCCTTATATTCAAAGACACGTTCTACTGTTTGGAGTAAATCGAAGAATTCTTTTGGATCCCCGAAAGCATCAAATCCGGCAAATCCATCTTTACTTCAAGATCCGAGCTCCTCCTTTGATATTCTATGCCAAATTTTCGGGGTAGTTATTCTTCATCACTAGAATCTGCTTAATGAAAGGGATTGGCTTCATTCTTTTGATCTGTCAAATTTACTAAATCCAGATTTACGTCATAAAAATAATGAAATGCAAGACTAAACAGGCGGAACGCTGGAAAATTAGAGTTAACAGAGCATTGGATTTTTATTTATTTATTTATTTATTTTTGTGTTTGGTTGGATTTAAGTTAAATTCATGATTAAATCCTATAAATAATATGCTACCAAACACCGCCAAAGTTTTAATAATCGAGCCCTGTTCCAATTCTTCCTACAGAAAATTAGCAAAAAAAAAAAGGAAACGGATTCCAACAATTAGCCTTCTAATGCATACAAAACAATAACAAAATCTCACCAATCCTCCGAGCATTCGATGAAGTGAACAGATACATAAGAAGTTGAACTGTTCGAATGCTAAAGCTCTGGTTATACGAAGACAGAGCCCGCTGCAGCTCCTTATCGTCTATGAGTCCGCTCCCATCCTGATCGGCCATCTGAAAGCATGCAACCACGTTCGGATCCGTCCCAGGGGGGAAGACGGACGGCACAAGCGCCGCAAATGGGCTCGCCGCACCATAAGCCGGCGGTTGCTCGTACCCGGCTCCCCCGCCCGCATGCACATTCGAGGTGGTGCGCCGCCGTAGGGCTGAGGTGGTGCGCCGCCGTAGGGCTGAGGTGGTGCGCCGCCGTAGGGCTGAGGTGGTGCGCCGCCGTAGGGCTGAGGTGGTGCGCCGCCGTAGGGCTGAGGTGGTGCGCCGCCGTAGGGCTGAGGTGGTGCGCCGCCGTAGGGCTGAGGTGGTGCGCCGCCGTAGGGCTGAGGTGGCGCGCCGCCGTAGGGCTGGGTTGCAGCGGCATAGGGAGGAGCCGACGGTACGCTGTGGGGGTAGCCAGGGCCAGGAGGATATCCTGCCATTGGAAAAAGAAATTAGAGAGAGAGAGATACGCGGCGGGGGAGAGAGGGATGAGGGGTTGAAAGCGTCGGGTTGCATTTTGGGCGAACATAAGGTGGGGTTTTAAATGGAGCGTGCGAATTTTAAATTCATGTGTCGGTTCTTGTTTCTTAAGATGGGGGTTATATGTCATTTAACTTCCACGAAATTTCGATATGATTTTTTTTTTTAAGTACTATATTATTTATAAATATCATAACAACATCAAATTTATTTATTTTTATTTATAAAATAAGAATTATTTTAAAAAGCTTTTTGCCATTTTGTTACAGACCAATTTATGTTAAGTTTTATAAAGTTCTAAAAATTTAAGCCATCCTTACAAATTTAATTGATATTGAGTATGAATTAGTTGTAAATGATAAGTTCTTATCTTGACAGTAATTAGTGATTTATGATGTGTACTTGAGAGAATGTGTTATGGGATAGGAGGGATAATATTTCATGCTGAGTTATTTTCCGTCAGGGTTAAGAAAATACGAGGGATTAAAAAAAGACAATCTAACAGGTCATAAAAGAAAAAAAATTGAGGGATTCATATCACAACTTCTATAAAAATCTAATTGAAGTTGTTAAAATTTAGAGGAGTCTGCATTTATTATAAATGATACGGTGCATTAATAATAATAAGCATGTGACTCTAAGTTACTAGATGGAAAGTGCAAAAGATGGAGATATTGTTAGATTATTAGGGTTAAGAAAATAAGAGGGATTAAAAGAAGACAATCGAGCAGAACATGAAAGAAAAGATTTGAGAGATTCATATCACAACTTCTAAAAAAATTTAATTTAAGTTGTTAAAGTTTAGAGGAGTCTGCATTTGTTATAAATGATACAGTGCATTAATAATAATAAGCACATGACTCTAAGTTATTAGATGGAAAGTGCAAAAGATGGAGATATTGTTAGATATTATGTTTCTCCTTATTGAGAGAATAAATAATAAGAAGAAGAGTGAGGTTTTACGTTTTAGTGTGTTAACTTCTAGGCTTTGAAATATGTAAATAAGGGGATAAGTGTTTGTACCACCTTAAGAATTGAATCTTAGAAGTCATATCCTTATCATGAGATCAATGAGAGGCATATAAATACATATATATATATATATATATATATATATAT